TCTAGTACTGTGATGGCAAACCTATGGCATGCATGCCAGAGGTGGCACACAGAGGCCTCTCTCTGGACACGTGAGCCGTTGCCTCAGATCAGCTTTGCTGCACATGCAAGAGCGCATCTCCTGCCGGCCAGCTGGTCTTTGGCTCTCTGCCACGCATGCTTGGGGGGCGGGGTGCACACGTGGGGGTCACATGTGCATATGTGGTGGCATGGGGTCCTGTGCACATGTGCAGGGGCATATGCACAGGACGCGTGTGCGTGTTGCATTTTGGGGGTGCAAATGCTTTGGGTACTTGGTGCTGAAAAGGTCAGCCATCACTAATCTAGTAGCTGAAAAAGTGCCAGTTTGGTTGTGCTGTGGTTAAGGCTCCAGGCTAGAAACCAAGAGATCTAGCCCTGTCTTAGACATGAAAACTGGCTGGGTGACTTTGGATTACTTAAGTCTCTCAGCTCACAACGTCAGGCTTGGGTGATAAGCTAGTTGGTCAATTCCCGTTACAAACAATTGATCAATACTTAGTTGATCTGAAAAAGATGGACCATGCACTTGCTGGAAAAAGGCTTGGAGGGAAAATAACTAGTAGCTGAAACAGTATTTCCTATGCAGCAAGACATTTTGGTGCCTTGAGTGTGACAGAGATTGGGCTCATATATTTGTTAGTATAAATTGTCTGTGTAAATAGTTAGAAGAATGAACCCCCCCTTCCCCTCCCTTCCCGGATTTGCTTCTTGATGCAACAGACACCTCAGGAGGACTCTGCAGCAGCTGAACGAAGGCTCCTTAAAATTTGTCTGAAGTGGTGCAGCATTTCCTGCTTAAGCAGGGGGTTGGACTAGAAGACCTCTCTGTTATTCTATTCTGTTCTGTTAGCTCAGGAAATAAGTGTACATTTTGTACCGTAGATTAGTTTTATGGGCCTTTCTCCATGCCCCCATCTCAATTTTATTTGGGAACTTGTAGAGTGTAGATGGCAAAGGAATTAACCTTTTCAGTGACTCACCAGAATGATTCACTTGTATGTGGAGGAAGAAATGACCCTGAGAAAGCAATTAAGCAGTGGGTTGAGTTCAGATGGCCTAGTCTAGATAGCGAACACACAGTCCCATCAGCCCTTTTAGTTCTAACAACTGTCCTTCTTACCATCTTGTGCATCAGTCTGATGACCTGGTTGTGTCTTATGCTGACAGATTTGTTGACTATAATTTGGGGGTATGGGTTTCAGGAATTCACAACAATTATCAAACTACAATATTTGCCCTAGCCCAGATTTTTAAGTGTTGCTCTTTTTTTATTTTTATTTAAAAATACTGAATAAATATTTTTACTAAAATACCTATTTTCTACTAATGTGAAACCAACATTAATGTGATGCCAACATTAATTTACTATATGGAAATATGAATATTGGTGCCTTATTTGAAGTATGTGGTTTTGTTTTTTAGAAAAACATCAATATTTGTCTGATTTTGATGAAAAAGATTATTTGCCTCAATAGCTTATAAGGCTTCCTCCTTTACTTGTATAGTATAGTGCAGATTACTAAAAGTAACTTTAATTTGGGCTATCTGAGGGTTAGGGTTAGGGTATGTGATCGCAAAGGTATTGAAGGTATTGATCACCTTTTGTGTCCTGACAAGCAAAGTCAATGGGGAAACCAGATTCACTTAACAACAGTGCTACTAATTTAACAACTTCAGTGATTTCCTTAACAAATATGGCAAGAAAAATAGTAAAATGGTCAAACTCACTTAACAAATATTTTACTTAGCAACATAAATTTTGGGGTCAATTGTCGTAACTCAAGGATTACCTATATAAACAAGCTTGATGAACTAAAGTTTTCCCATTCTGTTTAAATCTAGCCAAAATCAGCATACTGTACCTGGATTTCATTTCTTTCATTGTGTCAATTTTTCCTGCAAATTATTTAAAAAGCTTTTCATTTATTGATTAATCCAGTTTTTCCTCAATATATAATATTGTATACAGCTAACCTTAGTTCATGCTTATTTTCTGTAAAGCACTTAGTAATAATATAAAGTATCATTCATAACACAGCATTTTAATACATTTTTTTCCAAATACACACTGCTTTGTATAAGTCACAGGCAATATATTACAGTAGGCCAATTTCATATTGTATATTCATACCATTTTGTTCTAAAATAAATCTTTTGCATTCCTAGTAGAAACGTCAAAATTTGAGGAAATATGAAAAATGTTTACTAGAAATTGCTAATGGTGGACTGAATATGCTCATTTTGGTATGGAATGCTACTGATTGGAGATGAAATGCATTTAATAGTAGATCTGAGATTTATGTTATGTACAGGTATTGTTAGCTAACCAATAGGATTCAGATTCCTTGAATAATTACAATTTTTAAAAATTGTTTATAAAGCTTGCTATATTGATAATTTAGCTATTATTGTTTAGTTGCAGATCAGCGCTATGCCCGCACCAGTGCCTCTATGCCCTGTTTGCCAGCTGGCATCGCAGTACGCAAGGCTTCCCTTTCACCAGAACCGCCCCTGCCCCTGCGTGGGAAAGCCACAGCCATTATATTATAAATTCTATAATCTTATATTTGTAACTTTTATTTTCTATGTTTTAACTGGAATTCTGACTGTAATACTGTAAATGGATGGATGGATGGATGGACAGACAGGCTAAAAATGGGGAATGGCTGGCAAGATCACTGCCCATGTAGCATTTTACAGAGTATAAATTATAGAATTTATGATATAATGGCTGTGACTTTCCCATGCAGGGGCAGGGGCGGTCGTGGTGAAAGGGAAGCCTTCCAGGCTGTGATGCCAGGCTGGCAAGCAAGACATAGAGGCACTGGTGTGGGCATAGCACTAATCTACAACTTGTGGCAGCTATCTGGGCCAGAACGTGGTCAGCCTTAGATCTGACCCACACGCCCTGGAGCCAGCATGGGGCCACCCTGCTGCCTCGGCCCCTGGGCGCTTGCACAGGAGGCGGCAAGCGCTGGCGTCCTGGATGAAAGGGAAGCGCTCAGAATGCAGTCAGCCTGCGAGGCAAGACAGTCCCCAGGAATGCCAGCCCCGCCCACGCTCACTGCCTCCTGTGCGCACACCCAAGGGGTAGTGTGGGGGCAATCCCTTGCTGGCTCCAGGGTAGCCCCACAGATCTAAGGCCGACCACGTTTCAGCACAGATAAGCACCACCAAGTTGTAGAAGGCAACCGGTCAGACTGTACTGTTTCCAGGGCAGGCCCGCAGGCCAGATTTAACCACAACGCAGGCTGGATCTGGGCTGTGGGCCTTGTGTTTGACATTTCTGCTTTAAAGCCTGGTCAGATTTCCAGTGAAAAACAATAGAAGATTTAGTTTAGCTAGCAGTGTTTCCTTGTGTATGTTATTCAAGTAAATAGTTTTGACCCACAGATAAATGAAGCGTCTGTCTGTCTCTCTGCCTGCCTGCCTGCCTGTCATCAGAATTAATACATTCCCCACCGCAAATATCTACTGTGTTTTTCCTGGTGACATTCTGCAGATAAAAATCTGAGATTATTTAAGTGAAAAGTAGCAAGAAGAGACTTGTGTGCCAAAGAAGACATCATTTTTCTTTTTAAATCATTGTTTCTTAATCCAGAAATATTGGCACTATTTTTTAAACTTTGCAATAGATTGTCTCTTGCTCAAAAAACATGTTTCCTTTTATAGTGTCCGTATGGTGTTATTTTTACTGCTTTCAGCCTAGAGCTATTTCCTGTTTCCAATTATTTAGTTATACTCCAAAGCGCCTCTTTCCTTCTTGGCTTCCTCACCAGGTTTACTAAGGCATTATTGTCATTTTAGTGAAACGACGCCAGTGTTGAGGTTTTAATGGGCTGTGAGCAAGAAGTTCAGCTATTTCCTCTGCCTATGAGGCCATGATGTCATAAGCTGCTATGAGTCTCTTTATCATATGTTGCTGTTACCGTGGTCTGTGTGGAAAGAATGTAAACAGTGCTTTCCAGATGTTCCCAGGGAATCTGCAGGTCCATAAATGGGCCATTTTGTGGAAGAATATTATTTTCAATGAGAGGAAAGATGAATCAGGCTATACAAAATCCAGCATATAGCTTTGACCATATCAAATGTTAAAGGCTTTTGTTCATGTGCATTTGTCATGTCGTGACTCCAGGTTTGTATGTATCTCTTTCTATAAGTACTTCCCCAAATGTCCTGGCAAAGAAATGTGTCAGCAATGCAGAAAGTTATATTTTCTCTGGGGAAATTAATAAAGATTGAAAGGCAGTAGGTCTTTTTTTTTTTCAGCTTTACGTCAACATTCTCGAGGCAGAATGCATAATCTTCAGAATCTTTTTGTGTTAGATCAAGATCATGTCCTACATATTGTAACTCAAGTTGTCTTTTCATCTCTCACTTGTATATGGGCCTTGCATAGACAGCTAGGCATAATTACTTCTTGTCATATGCATGTCTTGTCACGCAGGACCGATGGCTTGGGTTTGATGGCTAAATTTAGGCACCACAATATTTTGGCGTGATGAAGAAGCATAAATCTTATTTTTAACATTTTTAGTTTTTCATTTTTTTAAGCAATTGTTGTCAATTATGAAAGAATTGTCTGAGTTGTACACAGTTTATAGAATTGTACAGAACACATGTAGTCAAGTTAAGATTAATAGGTTAATTAACTTGAAATGTAAGCAAGTAGGCCTTTCTGGAAGTAAATTGCTCCTTTTTTATCCTTAATTCCTTTCCAGTCTCCCTGCCCTGTGTTCCCAAATGGTCAATAACCATGCCTCTGAAGGTCTTTCTTCTGGGCTTATTGAATGAGTGTGGAGAAGCAGAGGGGAAAAAAGAGCATCTCTCTCCATTCTCATTTTCTCCTAACCTCCTCATCAGACCTGACTGGCCATAGACGTAATTTTTTAAAAAATATTTGCAGTATTGTGAACGCTGAATCATAAAATGTTCCACCTGTTTTATAATATTTGTGGATTTTTTTGGTATGTTTTCCAGGTTTGATATCTACAGAAAGGTGCCAAAGGACCTTACTCAGCCAACCTTTACAGGAGCAATTAGTAAGTATCTGTGCTGTATGTGGTATTTTTATTTTTGTTTTGTCTTTGCAGGTTTCATTGCAGGATTTGAGTTTTTTCTGATTGTTTATTTAAAACTGTGAGATAATATAGCAATATAGTGTGCTGTACTGTATCTTGTTAAAGGTAATTTGAAGCAGTATGGTGGGCGTCTAGATTGCATATTGGCCTTTAAAGTGACATCTTGCTGAATGGATAATTAGGATAATATTTGACATATTTTTTTCCTCCAATTTGGATGTAGGATGAAAGTGAATAGACTGCTGTCAAGCAAATTAATATGAATATTTTTTGCTGAATCTTTATTTTTATCTTTTTATCTTTATTTTTATTTTTATATAGCATAATTTGAGGGTGAATTTTAAATTATTATTTGTGTTTTTTAATCTCTTCCTTCATTTCTTTTTAAGTTTTAATTCAATACCAGGGCATTGCATAGAGTAGACACACATCAGAATCATTCTTTATGTCTAATATTACATTCGTTTATTGTTGCATATTTTCCCGTTCCTTTATTTGACTAGCTACCTCACTCTAATATACATATCATCTTCATTAATTTATGTCCCTATTTCTTTTTTTTTTATTTTACTATATGTACATCTTAAACATTACTTTCCTAAGACATTTAATTTCATTATTTTTACTCATGTACTAATTCTCACTTCCTTGTAAGAATGTGGGCATAAGAATGTTCTTATACATAGCCAATTTGTATTCTTTCAAACAACATTTATTCTTTACAGTAGATCCCATACTATCTTGTACCTTTCTACCAGCATTTGCACATGTTAAAACTTGTCCATCCATTTTAGTAAACTTTCGATTTGTACATAGATCTATCTATCTCAGGGCTGTCAAACTCCTCACCCGCGGACTGGATACGTCACATGCTGGCCATGCCCACACCTGTTTTAGGGAAGGGGGAAAAAGTCCCAATACATCACATAATGCTGTGAGTTTGACACCCTGATCTAGCTAGTCTGTGGTCATTTACAGTGTGTATAATTGACAGTTTCCACTCTATTTTTCTTAGTTTTTGATATGTTAATTTTCAGATCGAGATTCCTCAATCTCATCATGCAGTCTAAGATTTTCTGCAAATCATTGACATTCTCAGGCATTCCCATTTACATACTATATATCATCTATATACTACTAAGTATCCATACATCAATGCACCCCTAACTTGAGCAAAATGTTCCTTTTAGATGTAGTCATAAATATATTAAACAACCAAAATGACATCACACATCTCTTTCCTCCTTCATTATGTTGAACCATTTTCTCAGTGTTCCATTTATTCTCATGTTTTAGTTTCATCATAAACCATTCTTACCTTATTTAGCAACCAGTTTTCAACTCCTTATTCGCACAAAAAAGTCCATAATTCACACATATTCATTTTATGATATATTTTCTTAAATCAACAAATGACAGCAGAATTTTCTTTCGGATTTATACATTTCTCAGTGAAGAGCAAAATTATCTGTATGTCCCCTATCCCTCATAAATCTGTATTGTTCTTCCCAAATTGTGCTTATTGGCACACCTTATACCAGGGCTGTCAAACTTGCGGACCGCAAGCCAGCTGCGTGACGCGCTGGCCACGCCCATGCTCAGTTTAGTGAAGGAAAAAGTCACGATATGTCATGTGACGCCGCCATGATGATACAAGTTTGACACCCCTGCTTTATACCTTTCAAACAAAATTCTAGCAATCCTCTTCATGTGTGCAATTAATAAATTAATTCTCCTGCACTTGTTGCACTATACAAATAACATCTGAACTAGTAGCTTTTGCACTTACTCTTGCACCTTTTCTCTTTGTATAGGGAATGTTTATTCAATTGTCATGCATAGATGCAGTCTTCACACACGTTAAACAAGTTGCACAACCACTCTTTAAGCAAACCATATTCATATTGTAAGATTTCTCAAGATACACCATATAGGGAATTGTGATGGTATAAATGGCAGGGACTGTGGTTGCTAAGTGATGTGGTTGCATTTTACAATTGTGTCACTTAGCCACTGAAATTCTGCTGTAAAGGAAGGATTACCTGTACTTTAAAAGTTATGAAGGATTTTATATAAGTTGCATCCCCTTGAATGTGTGAGTATGCATAAAGCTAATTGGATCAATTTACTTTAAAAATATGATAATTTATTGTAAAACTTGGTATTACTTCATTCATGCTCCAAATAAGAGTGCATTACCTGCTATTGATTATGTGCCATCATTGTTTTCAATTTCTAGTGACTACATAGATAGATCTTCTCTACTACCTAGATAGTCCCTAACTTAATTTTTCACATCTACCAACATTTCACCCATTTCTACTGTAATTGAATCCACTCACTTTGCTCTTTTTCCTCTTTCTTTCCATCTTTCCCGGCATTAAAGCTTTTTCCAGAGAGCTATCATAATGGGTCTGAAGTAGGATAATTTAAACCTAGTCATTTGTGTCTTGAGTGTGAATTCTGGATTGATTTTTTACAATGATCCATTTGTTTTTTGTTTGTTTGTTTGTTTTTGGTCTGTCTGTGGAATTCTCAGGAGTCTGACACAACACCAAAGTTCAAAAGTATCAATATTCCTCCTATCCTGCTTCTTCAAGGTCCACCTTTAACCTCCAAAACATATCATAGGGAATATTGTAGATGCACAACTTTTGTAGGTATAGAGACATCTCGGCATTCAGTTATCTTTTCCAAGGCCTTCATGGCTGCTGTACCAGGTGCTAAACTACAATGTACTATTTCTTGACTGCTGGTTGTTTTATCTGTTGTCATTTATTGGCATTAAATGTATTTCCCTATTCAATATTTGAAGCTTTAGCAGTCTAAATTTTAATTGTCCTATCCTGTCCTTAAAAAAATGCCTTCTTACTGTCTCTTGATAAAACATTTTTTTTTTTTTTTGCATACAGGCACACTGTATTTCATTGAGTAAGGCTACTCAGTATAGTAAGTCTACTATATTGGCATTGTCTACTGTTTTGCTGGGCAGTGGATCATTCAAGGTTTCACAGAAAAGTCTTGGCTTACCAATATCAATGAACTATAGCTACATTCCTTTGTCATCATTTGTCTGAAGATGTGGAGCTATTCATTAAAAAGATAATGTAAATCTAAGTTCTTGGCTTGAACAAAATTTACATAACCTTTAAAATGATTCCACCAAAGGTACTTTATTAAATATCCTTTCTAAAAATAAGGTGCATTAAATCAGTTTATGTCAGCTGATGGATGCATTCTTGGTTTTGGGTTGTACTATAAAGTGCCTAGCAATAGCTGTTCCAAACATACTAATGTGTCGAACTGCCCATGTTTGGATAAAATTGCAGTGACATATGCTGTGGCATATGATAGCTAACATCCCAGTGGCACAAGCTAAATGACATATTGACAGGAAAGCACTCCAGACAGCTGCTCTGTCAATCCCTGGCTCTTCTGGATGAACTGTATATATGCATTACATTATTGTGCAAAAATATTGCAAAGCTTTGAGGTCAGAGGATTCTAGATACAAATGGAAAAAGTATGATTTATGAAGTTAAGAGTGTATGGTTTATATTTGTAATGAATCTTCAAGGTGCTTTTATAATAAAGCTTATTGGATCAATTTACTTTAAAATATGATAATTTATTGTAAAACTTGGTATTACTTTAGGTGCCCAAACCCTTCTGTGCACCATTGGGGCAATCTTTATTTAAACTTTTCCTCCCTTATTTTTTTGTGTGGAGTGCAGAAGTATAGAATCAGGATCTCAAAGTTCCATTATAGTTAGTTGGGTTAGATGACACCAGAAATGTCCAGAAAATGAATTCAGGGTTTCTGTTATTGATATAGTGTTTCTTGACATCCAAATCATGCAATATGCTGTTAATTAGCATACATTTGTCTTCATAACCAGGTATCACACACAGGGGTGGGATTCAAATTTTTAACAACCAGTTCTGTGGGCGTGGCTTAGGTGGTGGGTGTGGCTTGGTGATCATGTGACTGGGTGGACACGGCTTAGTAGTGAATACAGTTCCAAGTAATTATAGTGAATTGAAAACAATTTTTCTTCCTTTCCTTCACTTCTGCCTCAAGCTTGATAACATCCTGATTTCTTTAAATCATCTATAATGTGGGAACAGTCATTCTCTGGCTGCAAGAAATCTCACACTTTGATCCTATTCAACCGGATTCTTGTAAAGGGGTGTTAGTTCCAAATGTTTTCTCATAGAATAATTTGTGGAAGAGTGACATACTTTGTCAGGCATTTGGTTCCTGGAACAGGCATTCATTCATGAAAAAAATGTTGTATTCTGACCATTATATTTCCTAGCATTTAAGGGTGGTTGGCTTGTGAGTATTATTTAGTTGCTAGCTAGACTGTAGCTCAAATGTCATGTTTTTTCTTGGTTGAAATGGTATGATTTCAGCTTAAGTTGAAGTTCTTAGAATATGTACCATGCATTACTGTTTCTCATCTCACGTTTATTAAAGGGTCTTGGCTGTGAATGTGCCTCTGATTAATTTTTCTCCTATGAGCTGTTCAGAGCATCCAGTAGTGGGGAGGTGCTTCAGTCTCCGCATTCATAGGCTGAGCTTGATTTGTGGAACGCTCCTCCTCCTCCACGTGACTCCTCCTCAGCGTTCCCCAGTTTTTGCTCAGCCTCGTGAGAGACAGGCAGTTTTCGATCCTTCCTTGACCGAAACAGGAATCTTTTAGCTCGTGCGCAGCAGGTTTGGCAGTATTCAGTTTTGTCTTTAGCCTTCTTCCCCGTTGATAATTAGCCTGACAGTTCTGTTAGGGGAAGCGCCGTTTGCGCTCCCAAAAAAAGGCAGCGGGAGGCTTTGGCGCTGCTCTGCACCACCTCCCCACAGCCAATTTATTTCCCTCTGCCAGTTTGATTGCCGCAGCGTTTTTACTTCCGTTTATTTTGCTAGCGGCTTGATTCTCTTTCGCTCCAAAAAACAAAAACAA